ATGTGACCTCCCGTGCCAGTGGAGGCCGGAGTAGGGCCAACTTGTTAGTTCTGCTGTTTTCACAAGCTTATCAGACAATAAGTGATCTTCGTTATTCGTTAGGTGCATATATGGTAGTTCCTCGTGCCTTGGCTCAAATGTGGTACCAAGTTTTTACCTAGCCCCAACTGTGATGGTTTTGGGTAAATATCTCTTTAGAATAGGATGGTGTGATAGGACAGATCTATCGCCACGGATGAGTAAGCATCAGTGCGAAAAACCGGTACCGATGGTCTTTTTATGTAGTGGTGAACTTGGGTAGAGCTTATGCTATGAATTTACTGATTTGCAATGGTGTGTGTGTTTCATCCGTATGATTGTTTGTTACAATTGATGGAACTCGATGCATATTTTTTAGGGTTGAATCTATCCTCTCTTGTAGCATTTTGGGTAAATTTTTATGACATTTCTATTGGTACTTGTGGAGAGTTCCAGCACTATGAGGCCGCACTGATTGCACCAGATCACCATCTCACTGCACTGTCCGAGCTTACATGGCACCGAGCCGCGCAAGTGGTGTAAGGCTGGAGATGGCAGTGGCCGTCCAGCCCGCCCGTGTTCGATCAGCGGATCGGCTGGATGGATTCTTCTAGAAACAGAATGAGAACAACGAGGTGATGAAACATAGAGCAAGTATTGTAGCATGAGGGTTCATGCAGATACCCAACTATTCTCCAGAGGTGAAATCTCTTCCCGAAAACTTATATCATTGGGAGCTGTACAATTTCACCCGTGGGTGGGGCTGGCTACGTCAGTACAGAATCATCTATCTCTGTAATTGATAGATGTATTGATTACATAACCATGTTGATCACTAGATTCAGATATAGATGGTTCCCGATGGAATGTCACTTCTGAATCAAAATGCAAAACGTAACATACATTGTGTAAAATCAATAAGTCACCATATGGCTTATTATTGTTGGTATATTTGGTACAACTTACGTAGTGAGTTCCTTACACACAAACATTACTCCCGCACTGATGAGTACCCATACATGTTAAGTGCATGATCATCTAAATGAAGGAATTTAAGATGAAGGATTTGGGTAAAACCGCGAGTACCTTCACTCGTACATTATGATACACCATGTTGTCTATATATGGATTATATTGGAGAAACTGATTGCGGACAAGTCTTATCCATCCATAATTCTCCTGGTTGTTCATTCTCTAGATGTAGAGAAAGATTCATTTAGACCATGAGATGGAAATAAGATGTTGGGACCTAAAGTTCCATATCCTAGTGCCATTGGACTCACCAAACAAATTGGTTGGGACTCAAGAATATCTTTTGATATCTCCATGCATCAAACATCTTGTTCTAATTTTTTTAGTTTGAGCGAAATCTGGACACCGATATCATTGGATACATTAATCATATCCCTACCATGTCAAATCATAGACAAGCTTTGTGTTCAAGTTAAGTGTGGTAGCCATCCCATGAAAGTCTTCGAAACAGACCTCGTGGCTACAGCCACCAACCATTATCTCAAAGATAATGTTGCTTGTGTTGCCCGGATGCAAACAGGTTACATAATAAGCAATACTGTTATATTGCATATTTTGCAAGTCAAATCATGCGATTGATTTGTTCACCAAGTCTCTACTAATTTCTACATTCTAGAAATATGTTCATGGAATTGGTATGTGACAGCTTAAGAATTTGCAAGAATCAAGGGGAGTATCTTCCTGAATTGTTACTGTTCAAAGCATCATATTATACTCTTTTTCCCTTCATGAATTTAATATATAGGTTCCCATAAAGGTTTTTAATGAGGTAATATCAACATGAGATGTCATACTTTCTATTTTCCCAACTGTTTTTTTAGGAAAGTATATAATACATATTTGTTGTCCTCTAAACTCTATGGGGTTTCTTGTATGAGTTCAAGGACACAATAACCATTATATGTTGCATCACCTTCTCCTTATTTTCCTGCTGGGTTTGCAGGAGTTTTGGCAACATATCAAACACCATGTTCCTCACATTTTTTCCACAGGGTTTTTTGAGGAACTTATATTCAGATGATGATACTTCTTGGACATAGCGGAGATTAGGGGGGGGGGGTGTTAAGAATCCATTATGTGGATAATCTCCACTTAATCCTAACTGCCATGCAGTTACCCTCAGAATGGGATGCGACTCTAGTGGGGTGCGTGTGGGGAAATACGCTTTGGTTCCTGGTTGTATATGCACCCTATATGGGGATTTTTTTTAATAATTAAACAAAAAGTCAAATTAGTTCAAAAGTTTTTTTAGAATGAACTTGACTTACTTTTGTGCTAGTATATAATTTCCATGAAAAAAACCAACATTGACTCCACAGCGAAAAGACAAAAATTATTTGCTATTATAGGTCACCATTCACGCTATTTTGGCCAAAATTTTGCCTTTTTTAAAAAAAAAGTCAAAGGGAGATTTTTTTTTGTGAAGATTTTCTCACGTGTACAATGTAACGTCAAGTTAATTTCAAACATATTTTAACTTTTTTATATTTTGTTGAATTACTAATTTTTTTTCGCTATATAGCGTGTATATGTCCCCACAGACCAAAAGTTTCCCTCTGGTGCGTGTGTGTTGTGTGAGTTGGTACACGAGTTCCGATACTACAACTGTACCACCGGTCCAGAGGCAATGAAAAAAAAAGCTTACATGGCATCCAAATGGCCACATACAAGTGGGACCCACCATCTTTTTTTTCCCTCCTCTTCTTCTTGGGTCCAATAATTAGCTTGGACCGCATATGCTCCTTCAAAATAAGAAAAAGAAAAAAAAAAGCTTGGTGAGCATATGCCCGCCATCGCCATCGCCACCGCCCTCTTCGCCGCCGGCCAGTCCGTCGCTTATTCTGGATGCGCCGCTCCAGGAAGGAATCTCGGCTTGCTGCCTCGAGCCGCGCCTGCTCGCTATCCTCCGGTGGCAGCGGAGGCAGCGGCAGCCGCCGGAATGAAGTGCGCCTAGCGTCTCCCAACCACTACTTAATTACTCCTTCCATTCCCTTATACAAGGCCACAAACTCCAATTACAGGTACCTAGGTAAAATTTAATGACTACTTTGCAAGCCAACTTTTCTTCTTGTTATCTGGAAACATTAATACGCCCGCATGCATGCAAGGAAGGAATGAGAAGGAAGTAGCACAGTATTATTATGACTACATGTATGCAAGTATTAAACAAGTTGCTAGTACGAGAAAAACATCATTAAATTTTGCCTCGGTTACTGTTAATGGCCTTGTATAGATGCAAAATATACAAGGTTACGAGAAAAACATCATTAAATTATGGCTACATAGCTTAGCCTCGCGGACGCGCGCCACACCGAGACGCATCGTCTTGACGGTGTCCCACGCCTCCTTCGCCGTGGCCTTGCCGGCGAGGGTGGGCACCATCTCCGGTGGCACCCCGTGCAGGATTGCTTCGAGCGCCAGCCGATCGTCGCTGCGCTCCGCCGTGCCCGTCTGCACGGCGTCCCAGAGGTAGCGGCCCACCATCATGACCCTCATAAGGACATCCCAGTCGGTGTAGTTGGTTCGGACCGGCTGCGGCCACGCCGCACCGCCGATGTCGCGCGCCATCCGCGTCGTGGATCTCTCAGCCACGGCAAGCTCGTTGCCGTCGGAGACCCGTGCCCGCGGAGTGGCCGGCGACTTGCTACCACCCGAATCGTCAGGGCCCGCCATTCCAAGGTCAGGACCTCACTCTGATGCCAATTGTCGGAGTTGAGACAACGAGCTAGCGAAAACGAGGTGGAAGACGCGGTTTTGCCTGAGCAAACTTGTCGCGTTTTCTGCTTTACTGATCCACCTTTTATGCGAGATTATAACGAAGCAAACGGGGCTCATGGCCTTCGGACTGTGCACCATTCCTCTCCACAACGTTTGTGTCATCCCATGAACAGATTAGAGGGCGCAGGACTCGGACTCGATCGCTGCCTGACGAGCTATTCCCGTGGCAACGCTAACTGACGAAACTGAAGAAAAACATCTGAGCTATCTGAACTAACTGAACCTGAACATGCAAGGTTTATTCTAACATGGGCCGGGCCTGCGTACGTAGCATGTTTCACCGTAATGACAGTGTATATTCAGAGTGCTCAATTGAAAGTATACTTTTTTGTGTGCATATATACATATAGTTCAGTTTGAAATTTGAGGTTTTGTACCACATATGTATGATGTAGTTACCCCACTGAGACACGGTAATATGGAGCCAACAGATTCTTGGCCAAAAACTTCCAGCGCAGCAAAGCACACAAGATCATCTAGTCTAGTGTTAAACAAGACAGTAATAACTATAATCAAACGCTCAAGAATAAATCATAAACTCCCCATGTGGAAGTTACTCCAGTCGTTATCCAAGAGGTCGACCTGTTCCTTGAGTGAGCCTCAATTTATTTTACCTTTTGCGAAAAACGCGTGCCGTTCATTGCATGGTTGGTTCTCCTAATCATGAGAAATTCCAGCCACAACTTGTGTATAAGAAAAGTATGCATGCATGCCAAGACCAGGACCGGGACTTGGAACTACCGTACGTAGACCACACATATATTGTGCTGGTGGGTGAACTCAAGATCAGCTAATCTCTCCATTATTCCATTGTACTACTAGTTCCGATCTGTTGCTGCCACCGTCGTCCGACCAATATGGCTGCTGAGCTTGGGTATCTCGCCCGAGCAGCTGCAGCGATACTTTGCCTGTTGATTTTCCATGTAGCACCGTTGGATTCCCGTGCTCAAGCGAGGACATCAGGTGGTACTAGAGTCTGCATCAGCAGGGAGCGGGATGCGCTTCTGTCCTTCAAGGCAGGCCTTCTGGACCCTGCTGGCCGTCTCTTGACATGGCATGGTGAAGATTGCTGTCAGTGGAAGGGAGTAATATGCAGCAACAGAACAGGCCATGTCGTCAAGCTCGAGCTCCGCAACACGCATGAGGACTACCTGATCTTGTCAAGAGATGAGATGAGCTCCTCTTTGGCTGCCTTACAACAGTTGAGGTATCTTGATCTGAGCTGTAATTTTTTCAACTACACTAACATACCTGTTTCCGTGGGCTCTTTGGAGAACCTAAGGTATCTCAACCTCTCGTCGTCACAATTCAGTGGGAGAATACCTTCCCAACTCGGTAATCTCTCAAATTTGAAATATCTTGATGTTAGTGGGAATGATCTGCAAGCAGTTGATGTTGCATGGTTATCACGTCTTTCATTGTTGAGTAATCTTGACATGACCAAAGTGGACCTCAGTCATGTGCGCGGTTGGGTTCACATGGTTAGCATGCTTGCGTCTCTCAAAATGCTTCGCTTAGCACATTGTGGCCTTACCAGTACCATGCCTGCTACTTCGAAATCAAACCTCACACATCTCCAGGTCCTCGATATATCAGGAAACATGTTTAACACATCACTCGAGTACAACTGGTTTGGTGATTTCACAAGCCTCGAGGAGCTTTACCTAGCAGGTTGTGGCCTTACCAGTACCATGTCGGCTACTTCGAAATTAAACCTCACACATCTCCAGGTCCTCGATATATCAGGAAACATGTTTAACACATCACTCGAGCACAACTGGTTTGGGGATCTCACAAGCCTTGAGGAACTTTACCTATCATCTTGTGACTGGCATGGATCTATCCCTGATGAACTGGGTAACATGACATCCCTTCAAGTCATAGATTTTAGTTTCAATGATCTTGTGCGTTTGATACCGAGCAACTTAGAAAAGTTGTGCAATTTGGAAGTGTTGCATTTCGATGAAAGTAACATTAATGCGAGCATAGGGGAGTTCATGGATGGATTGCCAAGGTGCTCATTGAGTACAATACGAGTGTTGTCAATGGATAATACAAGTATGACCGGAAAACTACCAATCTGGATTGGGAACATGACCAGTCTCAGTTTTCTTTCAGCCAGATATAACATGATAACTGGTACTGTACCACTAGGAATTGGAGCACTTGGTAACTTGACAGTGTTGGATCTCAGCTACAACACACTCAATGGTGTGCTCATGACGGACCATTTTTCAGGCTTATTGAATTTAGAGTCTCTTGACTTGTCGTACAATAAACTCAATGGTGTGCTCATGAAGGAGCATTTTTCAGGCTTATTGAATTTAAAGTCTCTTCACTTGTCGCACAATAAACTCAATGGTGTGCTAATGACGGAGCATTTTTCAGGCTTATTGAATTTAGAGTCTCTTGACTTGTCATACAATAAACTCAATGGTGTGCTCATTAAGGAGCATTTTTCAGGCTTATTAAATTTAGAGGATCTGGACTTATCATTCAACTCCTTGAAAATGGATATTGAACCAAATTGGGTTCCTCCATTTAGACTAAAGTACTTATGGTTGCAATCATGCCGAGTGGGCCCCCGTTTTCCAGAGTGGCTTAGATGGCAGACCGATATTGATGATCTTCGTCTCGGAAATACAGGCTTGGATGATGTTATTCCTGATTGGTTCTGGGTGACATTTTCCCGAGCTTCATATTTGGATGCATCAGGAAACAAGTTGCATGGTTCATTACCGGCAAATCTACAACACATGTCAGCTGAAACTATATATCTCGGTTCCAATCAGCTTACAGGTCAAGTTCCATGGCTCCCTATAAATATAATATACTTGGATCTGTCTTCAAACTCTTTCTCAGGGCCTTTGCCATCAGAGCTAAAAGCTCCACAACTTGAGTTGTTGCTGCTTGCAAATAATCAAATTACAGGCACCATTCCATCATCTATATGCCAATTGACTGGTTTGGGACGGTTGGACCTGTCAGGAAACAATTTAACAGGAGATGCTATGCAGTGTTGGAAGGAGTCAGATAACAGTTCTTCAATGGATCAATTTGGTTCTGGCTTGTATAGTCTAGCCTTGAGCAACAATGATATATCAGGTGTATTCCCTAAATTTCTTCAGTGGGCCTCAGAGTTGGAGTTCCTTGATCTTTCGTACAATAGGTTCGTTGGAACATTGCCAAAGTGGTTGCCAGAAAAAATGCCAGAGCTAGAAGTCTTGATGGTGAGATCAAATATGTTCAGTGGTCATATTCCTAAGGATCTTCCTTGCCTTGAAAGTCTGCATTATTTGGACATAGGACATAACAATATATCTGGAACCATACCATGGCCACTATCAAACCTGAAAGCAATGAGGGTCAGATCTCAGTATATGGAAGACTATGAAGTGGAGCAGATCATACCAATCACCACAAAAGGCCAAACACGTTATTATACCTCTGAAGTCTATGGCCTACTGGTGAATATTGATCTGTCATGTAACAGTTTAACAGGGCAGATTCCGGAGGAGATAAGTTTGCTCATTGGGCTCACCAGTCTGAACTTATCGAGCAATCAGCTGGTCGGCAAAATTCCAAATCAGATTGGTCATCTTAAGTATCTGGAGTCCCTGGACCTATCCTACAACGAGCTTTCCGGTGAAATCCCGTCAAGTTTGTCGGATCTCACATACCTGAGCTACTTGAACTTGTCATACAACAACTTGTCAGGGGCCATACCGTCCGGCCCGCAGCTGCAAGCTCTCGACAACCAGATTGATATCTACATCGGCAACCCGGGTCTTTGTGGTCACCCTCTCTCCAAGAACTGCTCTACTCTCGATGCAGAGCAAAGCATCCATGAAGACGCAAACCATGTCGCATCTCTCTACCTTGGGATGAGCATAGGATTTGTGGTGGGTCTTTGGACGGTGTTCTGCACCGTGTTAATGAGGAGAGCCTGGGTGATTGCTTACTTTCAGATCATTGACAAGTTGTATGACGAGGTTTATGTGTGGGTGTTTATAGCTTGGGCTCGCCTGACAAAGAAGACCCGCGACGACGCGGCATGAGTAGCCCGTGGCATGTGATTGAATTGCTCAACCTACCTATAATGTACTGCTGCTTTGTGATTTGGAGAGTGAGTGGTGCTTTGGTGTATGTACTGCTGCTATGTACTGCTACGCCAGGTGCTAGTTGCTACCTATAAAATTATAGTGCATCGCATCACGATATATTGTATTGGTCGAATCAAGTGGAAAATATTCCCATATAAGTTTATAAGATGTCTTTTATGTAGGGGCGCTTATAGGCGCCGGCGCACCGGCCGAACTGTTCGTCCGGTCAAGCCCCAGCCGCCCGATACATCCGTTCCCCACCGTCTGATTGCTTTGTTTTAAAAGTCAAACACGCAGAAAAAAAAACACGGACAGGAAACACAAAAAAAAGGACAGCGAGCGCGCATGCCAGATCTGTGTGCTCGCCGGCCGCTCGCGATAGTCCTCGTCTTCCCGTGCTTGCTTTCCACTGCGCCACCACGCCCGTCACCCGCGCTCGCCTGCCGCTTGCCTGACGGTCGTGTCTGACACTTGCCTTGGCTGCCTCTGCTCGTCATGGTTGCAACTCAAACACAGGAGGATTCCAGCGCGCTGTCATCATGGTTGGAGCATCCCTGGCGTCCCCGTCTCCGGCTCGCCGCCATTGTCAACTTGCAGCGTCATGTCTAGCAAAAAAAGCAATAAAAATCTCCAATGCTGGGTTGAAGCAAAAAGATTTGCCGGTTCCAGCAAAAAATAATGATGGTTCCAGCAAAACTCTCAACAGCACAAAAACTCCAGTAGCAGATTGTAGCAAAAAAATTAGCTAGTTCCAGCAAAAAGAAACACTGGTTCCAACAAAAAATCATGCCGCTTCAAGCAAGAATGTTTGCTGGTTCCAACAAATTACATGACACTGTGATGCGTGTTGGATGTAGCAATTGAGAACATTGGTTGTAGCAAAAACTCAAACGGTGGTAGCAAAGAAATTGATGCACTGGTTCCCCCCAAAAAACATGGTAGCAAAATAATTGATTGGTTCCAACAAAAACCGAGGTTGGTTGTAGCAAAAATGTACATTGGTTGTATCAAAAACAAATGACATGGTTGCAAAAATTTGGGTTGGTTCCATAAAAAAGAAACGAACATGGTGGTAGCAAAATAATTAATTGGTTCCAGCAAGAACTGAAGATGGTGGTAGCAAAATTGAAAACCGGTTGTACCAAAAAGCAAATGACATGGCAGCAAAACTTCGAGTTGGTTCCATAGAAAAAGAACATGGTTGTAGCAAAATCTTACACTGGTTCCAGCAAAAATCAAGGGCGTCTGCAGCAAAAATTGGGGCTGCTTCCAAGAAAAGAAAATGATGGATCTCCATCACTTGTCGCCGTGGTTGCAACGCCTCAACGTCGGCCGCCGCGGCTCTCCGTTACTTCTCGCCGCCATCGGCAGCACCGGTGGGGGTTGGTTTGCAGCGCTGGTCGCTGGTGGGGCGTGAGGGGGCGGGGTGGGGGCAGCCACGGTGGGGGAGGCGCGGTGGCCATGGCTGGCGGCACAGCCGGTCGCCGGTGGGGGAGGCGCAAGCATCTACAAGAGAGGAAGAAAAGAGGCGAGCGGAGGAGGTTGCGGTAGAGGAGATGCACAAGCAAAAGAATGAGTGGATGGTGTTGTTCCTGAAGAGATAAGGTAGATGGTCGTTCGGTGGTGGGCCTACATGTAGATAAAGCGAGCGGTGTGACCGGCGGAACGCTTCGGCCGGCGCGCCGTCTGGGAAGGTTTCCCTTTATGTAGACAGTGATTTCTAGTTCTGATTGTAAACGATGTAACCGCACATACATGATTTGGATGCTGGTGAACACAGACTATGTGCAACAATTTGCGATGACCTTTTATATCTTGGCGGCTAACAGAATCATACAATACACTCGTTGTCAGTGGCTTGAATACGTACCTCTCGATGTACAGGCATGAACCTCACCTTCAAGGCTGCAAAACAGAAGTAACTACAGCAGGTATGTCATGTTCTCTGTTCAGTCCCCGCCCGCCGCTTTGTTCGTCCTTGCTTCTCTCCCTTGCTTCTCTCCCATCTCGGCAGTGCTTTACATGGTGGGGCCATGAAGCAGGTGGCTTGGTCCTCACCGTTCTTCAGATCTGGCGTAAGTCACTATTCACGGCAGCGCTGGTAGCCAGGGTGAGACGTATGCTCTCGAGTGAGTGGTCCGATGGTGGTGGATCTATCGTTCTCCATCGACCTCGTCGATGGGATGCGGCGGATCTTGGTACAAGGTAGCACGGGGATGTTTCCTAGTCGACATGCCACTGCGACATGTGCCTTGCTGCTTGAAGTGAGCCTGTTCATTAACTTACAAAGCCTCGTTGGCGATGGTGCTTCTCTGGATCTGCCAATGGTGAAGGCTCGATGTCTCTTCTAGCATGTGCTTTGGCGGTGCTGGATTTGGGTGGCGGCCACTGGCTTCAGCGATTGCAGGAGAACCTAGTGATAGTTATATATCTTTTCATTTTTGAGGGGGCTATCTGCAAAGTTTTCAGGGCGATCGTGTTTTCCTGGCCAATCTTTAGCTAAACATGCTTTTATTACAAATTGTACTGTTTTTTGGGATGATGACCCACCCAGTTTTATTGTTTCCGATGTAATGAACGATGTATCATTGTTTAATTCACAATAAAGTGCGCTATGAAGGCTTTACCTTAAAAAAATAGTTTCCATGTGTGTTTGGCAACATGACTTTCTTTTCTATCAGTAAAATGAATTACGTAATTGCTCTGAAAAAATTAAGGGTCGTTACAGCATATAGAAAAGTGAATGGAGGAGTCGTTAGCGCAGCGTAGTGGCAAGCATGACGTCGCGACGTCGATTTTTTTTGCTGATTTTTCACTTGTGCTGACATATGGTCCCGTTAATCATAAAGACATATATTTAATCAAAATACTGTGCCATGTATGCGCATTATATGTCTAAGGATAGATTATTACCGTATTTGCATGCTCTCACTAGTAGAAAACCACCCATTAGTCCCGGTTCGTAAGGGCCTTTAGTCCCGGTTTATGAACCGGGACTAATGGGTCGTTACTAATGCCATCACCCATTAGTCCCGGTTCAAACACGAACCGGGACCAATGTGCCTCCACGTGGCCCTGTGCGCCGAGCCCAGTCAGGGGGCTTTTGGTCCCGGTTGGTGGCTCCAACCGGGACCAAAAGTCAATTTTTTTTACAAAAGTGGCTGCTTTAGGGGTTTTGGAGATTATTTTTAGGTTGTTATTATAGCTAGCTAATAGAGAGAAGTGTCCTCTCTTATCTTCGTCCTTGGTTTATCAACGCTGCTGCTATGTTCATTGCACCCGCAGATATAACATGCTCATGCATGCTTTGC